TGCACTGAAGGCGTGACTGCGGCGGTGCCTTATATATGTGAGGGCGTGGACTTGTGAAGGTGAGCGCGGAGGGCGGTGTGGGTGCCGCCAGCGAGGTTTTCCGTGACGTAATGACGCGTTGCTACTCCCGACCTTGCCTGTGAAATTCACCTGCTTGGTGTCATAAGAATCTACTAAACATTCTCTTGTAATATTTCTATGGACCTCTTCAGCATCACACATGCGCTTATTCCTTTTCAAAAAATTGCTGCGGCTGGGCCCGCGAGGAGGCGATTTTCAATCTACAAAGTCTTTGGTGACGCAACACCAATCGACCAAAATAAGAAATTGCCGGCGGTGCCATAGCTGGAGCCTCCACCGCTTCCTTTCCCTGCGGGCAGTCACTCGGCGGTCACTCAGGCGGTCACTCAAGCAGTCACAGGCTCCGGAACTAGGAAATTTCAGACAAGAACAAACGCTATTGAGAACAAGGCAGTCCAAGTGCATCTTGCTTTACGATGCTTCTTGTGCGCGAGCGAGGATTGTGCAAATGTGTGTGTGACGGTGTGTTTGTGTGTGTGTGTGTGTGTGTGTGTGTGTGTGTGTGTGTGTGTGTGTGTGTGTGTGTGTGTGTGTGTGTGAACGAGAGAGAGACAGAGACAGAGACACAGACAGTGAGAGTGTGTGTGTATGAAAGAGAGAGAGAGAGAGAGAGAGAGAGAGAGAGAGAGAGAGAGAGAGAGAAGGAGAGAGAGAGAGGGAGGGAGAGGGAGAGAGATAGAGAGAGAGAGAAAGAGACAGACAGACAGACAGACAGAGAGAGACAGAGCCAGAGACAGTGAGGGAGAGATAGAAGGAGAGAGAGAGAGAGAGAGAAAGAGAGGAGAGAGAGAGAGAGAGAGAAAGAGAGAGAGAGAGGTATCATAGTGAATATGCACATACTAAAGATAAAAGGTGAAGCACATATCCTATGGAAATTGACATTGAGAAGCAGGAGATAAAAAGATATTATAACATTTATTTTAGAGGGAAATATGAAAAAATATTGTTAATCGTTGAATCGGTATTAGAATTACCGGTAATCGCCTCAGTGGTGCCTCGAGAAATTTGCATTAGAATTCCCTCATCTGTTTGGACTTCAGAGTCAAAACCTGGATTAAACTAGTCAACTTATCATGTCTTTTCGGCCATATCAGATTAACATTACATTTCTATATTTTATTACACCCGCCACTATAGACTTAGTGTTTCACTCATGAAAAATCTGAACCACTACAGATGAAATTATATATTATATGTATAGAGGAACAGGAACGCATTAGCCATCCTCCGGCAGGGCGGGTGAAAGCCAGACGCCATTTCTCACGAAGCACGTAATCATGCGACGAGAGAAATGACATTATCCAAACATGATATTTAGATATTCAGACGTGTGTGTGTTTACATATACAAATGTATGTATGTACGTATTCACGTATTTATATACATATAATTTCTAAAATTGATCGTGAGTATCGCCTGTCAACCAAACATTTCTGAGAATTCTCGTCAATTTGTCTGAAACAGCCGCCCTCCTTGTTACCTCTTTACGCATGCATGTTTCCCACCTCCATCGGCTCTACGGACTCTCCCTTGTGGCTATCACTTTCTCAGATATTACGTCTCAAATCAACACCTTCCCGACGTATCTCTCAGCAATCACTGCTCCGGCCACAACCCCTTCGCGCTCAGTCGTTTCTTTCCACTTTTCTCACGCCTTTTGGCTGCCGCCGCTATCTGCCGCCCAGAGGGTCTCCTCCCATTTAGCTTTCTGGCAGCAGACCCACCTAGTGCTAAAGTGCAGCCTTTTCAGGCTTTATCTTCTCTGGACATCAATGTTTAATGTAATATTGATATAAACAGGATTCATTTCTTTCAAACTCCAAAGCTTGTGGTTCTTAACCTTTTTAGCCACGGATCCAGATAAGAATCTGATGAAGGCTATGAACCTCCTTCCCCTAAAATAGTCACATAAACACAACTTATACACAACAATGTGTATAATGTACTTTATCTATTGAGATTCAGTTGTTTCATATATATGAGATACACAATTATAAAACATTAAAATAAACGATTAAAAAAACAAAAAGTAATGGTTAGGATTGCATAGCGAATGTTAATATCAGTTTTTATCTGATCTTCCCTTCCGTGGGTCTGGGGTCCATGGACCCCAGGTTAAGAGCCCCTGCCCTATGTGGTGGTCCGCGTAGGTGACCCTGGCAGTGATGCAGACTGTGCGTTCTGTCTGTTTCCGCCAAGTACCCCAAAGTGCCTTTCCAAATTACTGGTTTGGTTCGACCGTAGTCTAAGAATAATGTTATTCCAGTTAATTCTGATTTAGTATCCTGGTGATAAGTAATATTTCCTCTCTTCTTACTGTATCCTTTCTCGATCCTGATCTTCTTTTTTTACTTCTGTCACGCCTCTTTCCGCCTCCCACGAGGAAATTAAAACACGAATAAGAAGAACGGATCCCTGG